ATCAGAAACCAAAAACAAATTGTGATTATGAATGAGGCGAAATTGTGATAATGAACAACAAATACAACAATCACAAATCAAAGAGATAAACGAATACTATTTTTTTACAATCTTTTATACGGAAGGCGCCATTTATCAGTGCAAGATTATTAATATGGTTAAAATATATTTTATTTTTTTTTTTGGACTTACCAAATATCCGCTTTTTGAAGAAGGCCTTCTGCAATCGGTGGACGGTGCTGGAATTGGGTTTTAATGATAATAATAATCTTGCAGAGACAGTAAAATATGATATCTTCCGATAATATATACTCCGATTTTTTCGCAAAAATATATGTTCATATACAAAAATCAAAATATAGTTGTTTTTCTGGATGGTACGTTGATGTTGGCAAACCAAACTGGCTGCCAAGGCATTCAGGTTGTATCAATAAAATTATGATTTCGCAGGTATTGTCAGGTTATTTCCAAAGGTTTTTGACAAGTTTGTTTGTTTGATGTATGGTATGGTGTATCAAGGGCAATTTTCGATTTGTACACAATGCTTGCATTTACTTGGGTGAGCAATTGAGGGGCTTCCAAATTCACACAGTTGATCACATGTATTGTTCCGCCGCAAATTTATGGTGGCAAAGTATATAACCAAATAGGTGGTCGCAATTTAAAGTATCAGGCACTACACGTGGAATCCAGTATTATAAAATATGTGGATGACAGAGGGCCCACAATAATTCGTTGGTAGACAAATGGACAAATCACAAATGTGCAGAGTTCTGTCCCTTTTGGGGGTTTGGGAACCTTTACGATCCCACACGTTTTCGGGGTTTTGCACTGCACCAAGAATTTATAACCCTAATTTTCACAATTGATGGTGTGTGACGTTTAGTGCAAATTTAATATAGCCTGCAGGGTAGTTAATTTTAGATATTAAAACTCACTAAACACTTTTGCTCCTTTACATACCTCGTTTAATATTGTGCACTTATTTAATGCAATAGTATTTTGATTAAAAATTACAACTTTGTGGGGTTGAATATATAAAGATCTGCTACAAAATTTAAGATTTAATTTTTGGATTTTTTGAAGCGATCACGTTGACTGTCAGAATAGAAAGGAAGATTTTGATTTGCTTGTACACGTAGGAAGATTCCGTTTTCTTTAGACAAAGCAGTGAGAGAGATGTCTAAAAATTCTATAGCAAAGAAGATGTACTGTACACTCAATCTCACATTGCCTTAAGAAGGAACAAGCGATTACGAATCGAATTTTTACATTGAACCGAGATGCGTTTACATTTAATCAAATAAATGATTAGTAAAATAAATTTTGTTCCATATAATTGTTTTGATTTTTTAAAGCAAATTGTATGTTGGCTGAAATAGGCGCATATTACAAGACCAATATTTTGTGGTATAACCAACCAACATTGGGATGAAGACGATTTTCATAAATGGTATCCATTAAGAAAATTTTGCCTATTCAGCTGTTTTGTTATCTGTATCATATGTCGCTTGGGGTATATTACAATTTGTTTATTTGAATGGAAATTCACATTTTTATATATAAATTTCATGATTTATCTAAATTAGACAACATTATTATTTGAATAGCAACAATAATTAATTAATTCCACCGCATTTATCTCCAGCTCCAATTCGTGTTAAACTGTAAAAATATAAATTTAATCATATAAATTTAGCCGATAAATAAAAACACAATTGACTTACAGGTGGTAATGCTTCACAAAAGGTATTTTGTAAAGTTATTACGGACAATCCTAACACGATTCCTAATATTTTCATTTCTTAAAAGTGTTTTGAGTTTCTCTTCGAATTATTTAAATTTTAATTGACTATACACCCAAATGAGCAGTTCAATTTAGATATTTTCCTAACACCTTAATAGTCTTTTGTTTGTTATCAATTTTCTCTTGATGGTCATAAATTTAAATATGAAAAAATAACGATTCCAACAACAAAAGAACAATACAGTTTTTGGTATAAACCCCATCATGATCCTAACTATAAATTTCAGGATTTCAGTTCTATTGGTTCGCCGAAAATTCAAATTGTAGTTTTTCATATAAAAGTACGAATTTCCAAAACTGCCTACATACCTCAATTCTAAAATGCAGTGGTAATTATATGTTACTTACTAAGCTGGCTTGTGACAGAACTTTCGTTCCATAAGCAGAGCTTAAAAAAGATTTCCAGGCGCGTCAGTCTTTTGCGCAGTTTTTCCAATTTAAAATATTGTTTTCCACTTGATCGTTCCATCTAATTCGTGGCCTTCACCCTCTGCGTAAACCATCAGCTGGTATGCTTCCATATGCTTTTTGACCTAACGACGTGTTTTCACTTTGAAGCTGGGGTAGGTTCAGCGGGGGGCCAGAGTCGTCACAAGAATTTATTTGTTAGGACATAAAGAGAGAGAGCGAAGCAAAATGTTTTCTTAAAACGTTATAAATTTATTTCCGTAAATAACACTAAACACTACACTAAACACAATAATACCACGTTCAGAAACACGAAGAACACTAAATCACAGAGTACAGTCGAAATGTGAGTATGCGGGTAGCAGTGGTGGCAGCTTCGGCGCAGCGGCAGCCCGATGAATACGTCAGGCGGCGAATATAGATAGTGGCGGCAGCTTGGCACAGCGGCGGCCCGATGAATACGTCAGCGGCGAATAGTAGTGGCGGCAGCTTGGCACAGCGGCGGCCCGATGAATATGTCAGCGGCGAGTAGTAGTGGCGGCAGCTTGGCACAGCGGCGGCCCGATGAATATGCGACGATGAATAGGGTGGCGGCGGCTTTGGCACAGCGGCAGCCCGATGAATACGCAGGTGACGAGTAGTAGTGGCGGCAGCTTTGGCACAGCGGCGGCCCGATGAATACGCTTGGCACAGCGGGCGAGGTGGCGAGTAGTAGTGGCGGCAGCTTGGCACAGCGGCGGCCCGATGAATATGTCAGCGGCGAGTAGTAGTGGCGGCAGCTTGGCACAGCGGCGGCCCGATGAATACGCGACGACGAATAGGGTGGCGGCGGCTCTGGCACAGCGGCAGCCCGATGAATACGCAGGTGACGACTAGTAGTGGCGGCAGCTTTGGCACAGCGGCGGCCCGATGAATACGTCAGCGGCGAGTAGTAGTGGCGGCTGCTTGGCACAGCGGCGGCCCGATGAATACGCGACGACGAATAGGGTGGCGGCGGCCTGGCACAGCAGCAGCCCGATGAGTACGTCAGTCGCCGTCAACGCAGCCCGAAGAATAGGGAGTATTGCTACAACCCTCACTTGACCCTGCGTTCAGTCGCCGTCAACGCAGCCCGAAGAATAGGGAGTATTGCTACAACCCTCACTTGACCCTGCGTTCAGTCGCCCTCACTTGATCCTGCGTTCAACGCAGCCCGAAGAATAGGGAGTATTGCTACAACCCTCACTTGATCCTGCGTTCAGTCGCCGTCAACGCAGCCCGAAGAATAGGGAGTATTGCTACAACCCTCACTTGACCCTGCGTTCAGTCCGGTCTAGTCACCACAAATAGTCAAGGCTTATTGTTTGGCTTACTAAGACTCAATTCAACCGAGGTTGCGCGCCTTTTCTTCCTCCCAATCACACTTGACTTACCAGCCATCAACAGAAGACTGATCCCGATTGTGTGAAATGCGTCTCCTTTTATACCTTTTTGGCTGGTCATCTATTGTTGTTTTCTCATGACAGCAGCTGATCCCAATCTGACAGTTTTGTGTAGTTCCGCCATTTGCCACCAGGGGTTCCAACGTGGTATTTTAATGATAGCTATCTTCACTAGGGGACCGGTGTAACCGTTAATATTTAAATTAATTCTTCAAACAAAAATATTTCCTTGTTGATTTTATATAAAAAGGAAATAAAAATTATATTGAAGATAATAATGTACCCCAAAAACGAAGATCATGACTTTTGGGCGTTACATGGCCTCTCTTTCTCCCTCTGATTTTTGATTTCCTTGAGTGACTTTCGCATTGCTATTGACTTTCAACAGCAGGGAAGCCCGAAGGTGTGATCTAACAGTTTATTTCTCCGACATAGTCGCTTTTGTTCGACTATATATCTATCGAATATGAAGGTATGTTAGAGATCGTTGCAGAGGTTCGGGGAAACACTTCACTACCCCGTCTGCTGATATAATTATACGGTGCTGAACTTCTCGATACGATTTTGCAGGATAATTTGGAACTTCGGAAAATGTGTTATCGTTCCCGGGTTCCTTCATAAAAAGGCTTCATTTCGCTTAAGTGTGCGACGCGTGTAATGTTGTCCTTTCCTTGGACTACAGCGATTACAGGGGATTGGAACTTTTGAACGACAAACGGCCCTCCGTATTTGGGCGCTAGTTTGGCGGCAAAATTTTCGATGGCCTTCGACTGTGGATGGAGACGAATTAGAACTTGCTCACCAATCTTTGGTTTCCAAACTCGTCGTCTCAGGTTGTACTGTCTCCGCTGGTTTTGAGATGCTTTTGCCAAGTTTCGACGCACTATCTTAAATATTTCTTTCAACTCCTGGGCACGGTCTTCTGGTAAGACTATTCTAGCACCAGTTCCTGTTGTGAGCTGATCATATAATGCCTGGGGCAGTCGCGGTTCTCGTCCTTGTGTCAGGTATGCCGGCGAATATCCAGTGGATTCTGATGCACTAGTGTTTATGGCTAACATTATTTCGGGCAGCAAATCGTCCCATGTATTATGTTGTCTCGAAACTTGTGCTATCATTGTTTTCACCGTCCGATTTGTCCTCTCCGTAGGGTTCTCTTGCGGGGTGTAAGGAGCCGTAAGTTGATGCTTTATACCCATTTCTGCTAGAAATTTTTCGAATTGTTTGCTAGTAAATTGGGTTCCGTTATCGGTTATCAATATTTTTGGAACCCCATATCTAGAAATAATTCTTTCTCTGCATGCCTTTATTAATCCCTCTGTCGTAGCCTTCCGCAATGGAACCAACTCCGTCCATTTTGAGAATCTATCCATAATGACGAGTAGCATCGAGTTACCGTGCTTAGATCGCGGAAGAGGTCCTACGAAGTCCGCACAAATAGTGGCCCATGGTTCCTCCGGGATTCTTATCAACATTTCCCCTGCTGGTTTCTGTTGGCTGACTTTATATTTTTGGCAACATTCGCACTGCTGGACATAACGTTTGATGTCCTGAAACATACCAGGCCAAAAATATCGGTTTGCCACCTTGTTGCTAGTTTTTCGCACTCCCAAATGACCTCCGGTGACACTGTCATGATTTTCTCTAAGGACCTGAATTCTTGATCCGGTGGGCACACACAGCTTCCATGGTGTGCAATCTTCGTCGTTTATTTGCTTGGGAAGATGTCGATAAACATTTCCCTCAATGATTGTATAGTCTGGATACTTCTTCTGATTCTTGGTTATGGTTTCCTTCAACTTTTCTAGCCATGGGCACGGACTGGTGTCATATTTTACCGTGGCTAGGTCTAATGTTTCCAAAGGTGTTCTCGAAAGTGCATCCGCCACAACGTTCTGTTTTCCTCTGCGGTATCTGATCAAAAAATTATATTGCTGTAGCTCGAGGGCCCAACGTGCGAGTCGACCTGTGGGGCTTTCAATAGAATTTAACCATTTTAGGGCCAAATGATCGGTAATAACTATAAACTGGTAACCCTCTAAATAGGGTCTCATGTGCCTAATGCCCCACAGTATGGCTAGACATTCCTTTTCAGTCGCTGAGTAGTTTTTTTCAGCCTGTTTTAAATGTCTGCTGGCGTAGGCGATGACACGTTCCACGTTATCTAACTCCTGTGTTAGAACTGCTCCAAGGCCATAGTTGCTGGCATCAGTTTGCAATATGAACGTCTTTGTGAAATCCGGACAAGCCAGAACGGGGGCTTCAGTTAACTTTGCTTTTAGGTCTGAGAATGCTTCTTGTTGTTCGGGACCCCATTTCCAATGTTTTCCCTTTTTAAGAAGACTAGTCAATGGTTGTGAAATTGTTGCAAACTGTGGGACAAATCTTCGGTACCAAGATGCTACTCCAAGAAATCTTCGTACCTCCTTTACCGATGTTGGAGTTTTCATTTCCACTATTGCGGCAACTTTATCTGGATCCGTCTTTATTCCCTCGCTACTCACAACATGGCCTAAATACTTCGTTTCTTTTCTGAAAAATTCACATTTATCGATGTTTATTCTCAGGTTAGCTGATCGCAATCTTCTGAACACTTCTCTCAAGTTCCGCAAGTGTTCCTCAAAAGTTTTTCCAATGACGATGATATCGTCAAGGTATGCAAAAGCGTGGGGGTCCATTTCAGGCCCAATCACACTATCTAATGCCCGTTGGAAGGTTGCCGGTGCTGAATGCAAACCGAAAGGCATTACTTTCCACTGATATAGACCTTTACCAGCTACAGCAAAGGCCGTGTATTTTCTGCTCTCCTTCGCCATAGGTATTTGCCAATATCCGTCTTTGAGATCCAGGCTGCTCACGTATTTGGCATCCCGCAGTCGATTCAGTATTGTGTCTATGCGGGGTAAAGGGTAGGCATCTGGAACGGATCGTTTATTCAATTGGCGAAAATCCATACAAGTTCTCCAATTCCCATTTTTCTTTCTGACTAACGTTATGGGGAAACAGTATGGGCTTGTAGATGGCTCTATACATCCTCGTTCTTCGAGCTTTTTCACTTCGGCATTAATCACGGCTTGCATTGCAGGATTTCGCGGAGCATATCTTAATTTAATGGGTCGATCGTCGGTCATTACAATCTTATGTTCGGCTATTGACGATAGGCCATTTAATTGTTGGAACTTAGGGAGTTCCTTTGCCAGAAAATTTTCAACGATATCACATTGCGTTTTACTCAATTCATCGTTTATAAATTTAGGTCTGGGGGATACATTATTCGTAGCTGTCATTGTATCTATTACCTCTTTTGATGGGGTTTCCTCTCTTACAGCCACGGTACAATGCTCCGTTGATGTGGCTGGCTTACTTAATTTGACACTTATACCGGCGCAGTGAATGGTCGTGTGGAACTGTTTTAGAAATTCCAATCCCAATATGATGTTTTCCTTGAATTGCGGCATGATGAGGAATGTAACATCTGAGCTTTGATTTCCAAATGTAACAGGTAACACCGTTGATCTTGTGATGTTCACCGCGGTGCCGTCTGCGAGGATAACATTTGCCTCATGTCGCGAATAGGTAAACTTTTTCTTGATCTGTTCCGCAAACTCTCTTTTTATAAAGCAGCTAGTGGCACCGGTGTCAACAGTTGCTTTAATGGCTTTCCCCTCTATTAAGACAGTTGCAGTAAGGCGATATTCTTCACATTGCAATGATGTAATATTTTTGTTACTCTTCTTTGCCGGGGGTTCATCCTGCTGCGTTTCCGTATTGGATGGGCTTTTGTTTAGCATTTGGTCACCTTGATTGGTGCAATACAGGTTATTTCTAGAGTTATCCGCATGTCGATTATAGTTTGGTTGATGTCGCGGCTGTTCTGACCGAAAATTATTTGGGATGCTTTCTAGTTCGTCTGCCAAGGATATCAATTCCGAAAGTGTGGTAAAGTCTTTACGGCGAATGTACCATTGATAATCCGACTGCGCGTTCCTAAAAATTCGTTCCAATTTTTGTTCTTCGGTCATATTGGTGTGCTGCATAAGATGCTGTATAGAAAGTACATATTCCTTAAACGGCTCCTTATTACGCTGTATCCTTCTCCTAATTTCATCCTCCAATTTCTCAAAATATCTCGGGGGCAAAAAGAATTTCAGAAAATCGTCCTTAAATTCGCTCCAGGTAGTCCAGTGTCGATTATTGTTCCTTAACCAGATTAAAGCTTTACCTCGTAACAACTCTGGCATTACTTTAGTTATTTGATTCAATTCCACGATGTACATTTCAGCCATTTCTTCTACACGTTCTACGAATCCAATGGGATCCATTCCATTTTCAAAAGTAATATTCCATTTTCGGATTTGGTCGAGAATTACGAGTAACGACGAATTATTGGATGACTTGGGCGGAGAATTTTTTGGAAGTCCGTATTCGGGGTTTTTTTGCGACAACTTCTGCACTTTTTGACCGTTTGTTACCCCAGTGCTTGGCTCTCCAAGTGACCTTTCCGCGGAAGTGTGGGGAGGGGCGTACTCTGTTTTTATTGGGGATAATACTATTGCTTCTGATCCACACGGTGTTACGGTTATCAGAGGTTGTTTCGTGACGGCTCGCAATGTCGGCGATTTGGTCGGACTGGTACTTTCATGTCGGCTTTGCAACTCTATGAGCCGTCTGCATACATCGGCTTCATGGTCGTTGTGTAGAAATTTAGCCCATCTCTTGCGGAGATCATCTACTTTTCCAATAGGATCGAGATTGAATTCAGTAAGATATGTTACCAAATCTTCTTGTTTTAGCATATATGCCCAGGAGACCTTTAACATTGTTTTTTCGTTTGACATTTTTGTTTTTCTTCACTTGGTTCAGTTTTTTTTTTCGTTGAATGTTTTTTTTTTAGTTCAGTCGGATTTCACACGTATTTGTTTAATAATTGTTCACTCATTTATTTACTCTTTCTCTCTTTTATTGTCCCTGCTCGGGCGCCATTGTGACGACGTGTTTTCACTTTGAAGCTGGGGTAGGTTCAGCGGGGGGCCAGAGTCGTCACAAGAATTTATTTGTTAGGACATAAAGAGAGAGAGCGAAGCAAAATGTTTTCTTAAAACGTTATAAATTTATTTCCGTAAATAACACTAAACACTACACTAAACACAATAATACCACGTTCAGAAACACGAAGAACACTAAATCACAGAGTACAGTCGAAATGTGAGTATGCGGGTAGCAGTGGTGGCAGCTTCGGCGCAGCGGCAGCCCGATGAGTACGCAGGTGACGAATATTAGTGGCGGCAGCTTGGCACAGCGGCGGCCCGATGAATACGTCAGCGGCGAATAGTAGTGGCGGGCTTGGCACAGCGGCGGCCCGATGAATATGTCAGCGGCGAGTAGTAGTGGCGGCAGCTTGGCACAGCGGCGGCCCGATGAATATGCGACGATGAATAGGTTGGCGGCGGCTCTGGCACAGCGGCAGCCCGATGAATACGCAGGTGACGACTAGTAGTGGCGGCAGCTTTGGCACAGCGGCGGCCCGATGAATACGTCAGCGGCGAGTAGTAGTGGCGGCTGCTTGGCACAGCGGCGGCCCGATGAATACGTCAGCGGCGAATAGTAGCGGCGAATAGTAGTGGCGGCAGCTTGGCACAGCGGCGGCCCGATGAATAAGCGACGACTGAATAGGGTGGCGGCGGCTCTGGCACAGCGGCAGCCCGATGAATACGCAGGTGACGACTAGTAGTGGCGGCAGCTTTGGCACAGCGGCGGCCCGATGAATACGTCAGCGGCGAGTAGTAGTGGCGGCTGCTTGGCACAGCGGCGGCCCGATGAATACGCGACGACGAATAGGGTGGCGGCTGGCACAGCGGCAGCCCGATGAATACGCGAATAATAGGGTGGCGGCGGCCTGGCACAGCAGCAGCCCGATGAGTACGTCAGTCGCCGTCAACGCAGCCCGAAGAATAGGGAGTATTGCTACAACCCTCACTTGACCCTGCGTTCAGTCGCCGTCAACGCAGCCCGAAGAATAGGGAGTATTGCTACAACCCTCACTTGACCCTGCGTTCAGTCGCCGTCAACGCAGCCCGAAGAATAGGGAGTATTGCTACAACCCTCACTTGATCCTGCGTTCAGTCGCCGTCAACGCAGCCCGAAGAATAGGGAGTATTGCTACAACCCTCACTTGATCCTGCGTTCAGTCGCCGTCAACGCAGCCCGAAGAATAGGGAGTATTGCTACAACCCTCACTTGACCCTGCGTTCAGTCCGGTCTAGTCACCACAAATAGTCAAGGCTTATTGTTTGGCTTACTAAGACTCAATTCAACCGAGGTTGCGCGCCTTTTCTTCCTCCCAATCACACTTGACTTACCAGCCATCAACAGAAGACTGATCCCGATTGTGTGAAATGCGTCTCCTTTTATACCTTTTTGGCTGGTCATCTATTGTTGTTTTCTCATGACAGCAGCTGATCCCAATCTGACAGTTTTGTGTAGTTCCGCCATTTGCCACCAGGGGTTCCAACGTGGTATTTTAATGATAGCTATCTTCACTAGGGGACCGGTGTAACCGTTAATATTTAAATTAATTCTTCAAACAAAAATATTTCCTTGTTGATTTTATATAAAAAGGAAATAAAAATTATATTGAAGATAATAATGTACCCCAAAAACGAAGATCATGACTTTTGGGCGTTACAATTTTTGACCCCGAGAATGGGGGGGTCCCCTTAAGACGAGTGTGAACCTTGGCTGCTACAAGGTAATTGTCCGAATCGATATTCGCTGGACGAATGATCAATTTGGTTTCTCGTTGCCTGATCGGGAGAAATCCAGGTGGCCCTGTGTATATCGAGATGGTTTAATATGGTGCCCTTAACTACCATATTTTTTGCTGCCACAAAGTCAATAAACCTCATGCAGATGTTTCTTCCCTTCCGAATTTTGCATTAAAATCTCCCAGCTGAATTTTAATGTCATGGCCAGGGCAGCGGTCATATGCTGTTTCTACACACTTGTAAAATATATCTTTGGTCTGCCCATCTTTGTCTTCGGTCGGTCATCTACTGGAGTGAATCTGGAGACGAGGTATTTTATTCTCCTGTTAACCATAGATCCGCAGCCAAATTCAAATCTCGTTTCATGACAGCTATAATACAGGGCGTAATTGTCTGATTCACTTACAACTGTCCCTTTCCGTTTCCTGTAAGTAAATAATATCGGCTTTGTACTTCTTGAGTACACCTGATTCACTTACGCCTGTCCCTTTCCGTTTCCTGTAAGTCAATAATATCGGTTTTGTACTTCTTGGGTACACCCGCCAAAGCGAAAACTGCGCCTGTTCTGTACAACGTGCGCACATTCCAAGTGCAGATTCGCATATAGTGGTCCTTTATACGTTTGCGGGGGTCGTCAATATTAGGGGGTTGGTTTTCTTTTTCTTTGCTCTTTCATAGTAGAAGTGGTTTTCCGAGTGTGGGCAACTAACCCGACGACTCAACCTATTTTTTTATAGTTCTTATGGGTGAACACGCAACACATATCTGCTCACTATTTCAACGGGTGATGAAAAAAGCTACCCCAGGTGACACCGCAGGGAGGTCAGTGTTCACAATTGAGATGAAAGAGCGATCAAGATAAGTCTGGGCTTCGCCAATCAGAGCCGTTGCTTGGTATCTATCATCCACTACGTCACATATGCACAAAGGCATAATACCCGGTACCACAGTGTGGTGAAGGGTATAAAAATCCGAAAGTAGCTGAAGATGTTACCTGTCAGTTAAATAAAATCTGTTAAACTTTAATAGATATCTTGAATGAAAAATGAATAAAAAAAATCATGAAAAATCATGAGGGACCTTAAGGAATTTTGAAATGCATATATTCGGTCATTTAATTTTTATTATGTTCATTCATTTTTAATTTGTTTACTATTTATTTATTAATTTTGAATTCATTCTAAGTATTCAAAATATAGTAATTTACTGTATAAAAATGTTGAAGCACCAGCTTAACATAGTAACAAAACAACATTAAAAGTTTAAACTGAAAATGCAATTTTTGTTTATGAAAGGGTATCATTAATAACGTATTCAACAGCATGTGCAACCACTCTTCAAAAATATGAAATGAGCGCCGGAAAGGCTTGGGTATTCCGCACATAGTAGTGAAAGGATTTTTTTTCGGATGCCAACATATGCAGATGGTAGAACTGTTGATGATGATGATGCCGACAGAATACCGACGACGGCGATGATGATGGGACTAAACAGACAATAAACTCAACAAATATGACAGCGCAACTATTAATCATTTCAAGGCGAAAATCATAGAAAAAAAAAACGACAACAACAACGTTAATGTAACATTAATTTATATACAATTATTGTTTTTATAGGTCTGTCTATCAACGCTATTTAAAAGTATTCGATTTTTAAAGAAATGTCAAGATGTAAAAAAGGGAAGAGTAGAGATAGATATGCACCAATATGACTATAAGTGTGGCTTTTTGAAAAATATTCCCTAGACAGGTGTGACCCACTTAATTATCAAACCTTATTATCAAAATTGTATAAAAAATTTTAAAAAAGACGATCACAACTCTTCTCTGCTGCGGAAATTTTGAACTCGTATGCGAGTTCGTGATTACAATTAGAAGAAAGGAAATTCTTAACTAATGTGTGAAACAAGCAGAGCAGTGAGGGCGGGCAAGCACCACACACCAACTCTGCGAAATTGTATGTCTTTCTTATATTTGTATATGTGTGTGTTTGATGGGTTTCATAGAGATGTCTCTTAAACTTACTACGCGCACAACAACATTTACTCTGAAATTGGCTTTGTTTTTTCGCATTTTTGTTTTTGATTTTTTTGTTTGATACATATATATTTTTGTGTGATATAGAATTTATCAAAGTATATTTTGCCGCAATTAATGGGAATGCTGCCAACCATTTCAACAGAGAGAAGACGAACCGTCAGCCATCAACTCCGCCTGCTGACAATGTACTTAAAACTTCTATTTGTACAAAGAAATTATGAAAAAAGCATATGCGAATTATACTCAACGAAATTAAACTTTAGCTCTTTAGCAATTGCAAAAAATTGACGGGAAACCGGTTGCAAAATCCACCACCATTAATTGAACCACAACCAACTATAGTACTTGTACTCTTCTTTGATTAAAACTTGTTGTGCCTTTTACTTCACTCTTCAACATGAGGCACACACATTATGTGGACGGACGAGAGAAGAAAATTGTATCTAAAAATAAAAACAAGTTTTGTTGAAAGCATGCGAGCAGCAAGCCAGCCATTGAATGAAGTTGTTATTGGTGTAGCTTGCCAGCCGTTGGATTGTTTGCCGTCGTAGACATAACATAAGGGCAGTTGTGTCTATAGACAATAGTCGTTGCAAACATCGTATAAGAGGTTTGATTAAGACAAATTGTAGTCAGGTTTGTGATTCCGTTTTCTGCACCTGGACATATTTAGTGGAACTTCTTCCTCAGTCTAAATTATAAATTTCGTCTATTTCCAATGGATTGGTTAATACATTTTATACCCTTTACCACTCTGAGATACGGTGTATTATGTTTTTGTGCATATATTTATAACAGGTAAAATGTTCCTTCTGAGAATATGCATAGAATCACTTTGTGAGTCGATTTATGCATGGCCGTCCGTCTATTGATGTTAAATTATAAACAAAGTACAGGTCGCATTTATTATCCAAATGAGATAAAATTTGGCACAGATTATTAATTTTCCCCAAGGACGAACCCTATTGAAATTGGTGAAAATCGGTTCAGATTTAGATGTATGTAAATCGTGTACCAAAGCCTCTATATATCATTCGATTTGCACGAAATTTGGCATGACGCATATAATCGGCCCAGTCCGACTTTATTACTTTCCTTACTGGTTTGAGAATTGTATCTTTGCTTACACTTATTTCAAGAAAATAAAGATATTAAATCTATAATATCAACGGCACTAGAAATAGTATTTTTGTAGGCTTTGACATGAACTATAATTGTGAGACGTAGGGGAGGCGATAGTAGATACCAAGCAACGGCTGTGATTGGCTTTAACATGGCTAAGTTCAGGCTTATCTTGGTGTCACTTTCATATCAATTGTGGAAACTCCTACTGTAGCTACTTTCATCATCCGTTGAAATAGTGAGATGATATTTGCCGCTAGTTCGCCCATAAGAACTACAAAAAATGGGTTGAGGCGTCGGAAAATCCCTCCTACTGTGAAAAACCAACGAGAAAGTAAATCAAACCCTCCAATGTTAACCACCCCGCATACGTATAAACGACCATGATCTGCGAATCTTCACTTGGAATGTGTTCACATTGTACCGATATGTGCGCACGCAAAGCCGATATTTTAACCTTATAGGAAATGCGATGGATAGGGACTGGCGTAAGTAAATTAGATGGTTACACACTGTACTATAGCTGTCATGAAACGAGACATGAATTTGGATGTGGAGTTATGGTTAATAGGAGAATAAAAGACCTCGTCTCCAGAATCTCTACAATAGATGAGGGAATTGCTATAATCCATATAAAAGTGAAGTTTTGTACATCAGTCTTTTTTGCGCCCATGCTCCGACGGAAGACAAAGATGAACAGACCGAAGACATATTTTAGGAGTGCCTAGAATCAACGGATGACCGCAGCCCTGGCCATGACATTAAAATCCTAACAGATTTTAATGCAAAAATCGTTTTGCAAAATATGTTTTGGACCCACCGTTGGATAACTCAGTCTCCACGAAGAAACATCTGACAACGGCATGAGACTGATTGGCTTCGCGGCAGCAAAAACCATGG